GCTCTGTGGTTTATGGGCACTAATTTTCTGAGATAAACAGAGAATTTCGTCCCTGCTCTCATCAAAGCTAAGGATGAAATTGCTCTGAAGTCTGCGCCCTGTGAGCTCTGTTTCCCACCGCTGTATTTTAAGAGGACATTTATGCTTTCCCCAGCTCCGATGTGACAGCTGAGCACTGGCACCCTGCAATTCCACAGCAAGGTCCAGCCACATCAGTTTTCATATTATCTTGGCTGTAAATGAGATTCACTGGACAATATGGATCTGGTTTGCCTTTAAGAAAGCTGCCATCTATGAATAAATTGGATATACTTCTGTTGGGCTCCTGACAGGCTCAAGCTTTCAGTTGTGAGGCTGTGAAAGCCAAGACCCAGGGCCAGGCAGGAGCAGCAGCAGCAGAGCACACAGTGACAGATGATACAGGATCAGCTGGAGATGGAGCCTGTTCAACTAAACTCACCAAAATGGCAGGGGTTCCACATACACATTTCACCTTTGAATTTGCAGTTCTTGTAATCACCTCTTTAGAGAAGAGAAACAAATTATGAACTCTTCCATGTCTCTCTTACTGATGCTAAGGGAATAGTTCCCCTTGTTATGCCCCCGGCTGGCCCAGGAAACATGGATTTCTGGTGGAATTAGACAGGTCAGTTGGAGGAGCTGCACGTGCTGTCCTGCACCTTCTCATCAAAAACTCCTGCGTGAAGAAATTGCCCAGAGACAGCTCTAATTTGTTCTAAGCTATCAGCCCTTCTATCAGCAAGCAGGGAATTTTTATCTATTTATTTCTTACAATGTCACTGAATCAGTGACCACCTGCAAGGTGTCCACGATGATAAACGCTTGCTTTGTATACGGAGCTATTTCTGACAATGCTCGATAGGGCACATCTATCAAACTGCCTGGAAGAGCCACCTATTAGGATCATTATCTAACACAGCCCCTTTGTGGGAGTTCAATGTCAGCACATCCTAGGGACAGTACCTCACTGGGTGCCATTCTGCTCATTATTTCTCTAGATTAATAGTTTCACATTTCCATTTTGAATTTGGGCTGAACGCTGGAGTTCTCACACCCAGAGCAGAGCTGCAGCACAAGCACTGAGATCCTGAGCATCCTCCCAGAGCACAGCATCCTGCTTGGTGCGAGCAGGGACGTCTGTCTGGAGGGTGGGCTGGTCAAGGTCTGTGCCAGCCAGCCAGGAATGCTTTTTTCCCTGCAAAACTGTAGTTATCCAGCACTATAAAAGAGCTGGTGAAACACAGACACACCCTGCTACTTGCTTTCTCCCTGCTGGGTCTGTGCTGCTGAAAGTACCACCAGCTCTCTTTCAGCAGCTTGCTCTGTCTCAAGGGAAACTTATTTTGAAAGAGCTCTGGTTCAGGTCAGGAGTTTTGATCTTAAAAAGTCAGCCCTCGGCAATCTTTTAGCAAACCATGGCCATTACTCACCAAACCACCCTTCCTACGAGAAAGCCACAGCTCCCAGCCCTGGGCAGCATTCATCACGACTGAATTTACAACCAGGAAAACCACTTTTTCTCATGGAACCAGCCACAAAACATAAGGGTCTTAATTCCTTCTGCAGAGTCTCACAGGCCCTTGGAGGTCACATAGTTCATTTCTTGGGAAGAACATATGCAAAAGTGATATCCTGAGAAGGCACCTCAATGTCCTACAGCCTTTCCCTCAAGACTGTCTCTGTCCAGAGCACAGTCCTTGCAGTTGTGCCCACAGCGTCGCAGATGCTCAGCAGCAGCTCAGATGACACAAGCCAACATCAGACTCTTCTGTACCTGAACTGCTCTGGCCACTGATGGATGCAGCCTCTTCCAACCTGACAGAACAGTTATTTTCTTCCATTGCTTTTTATTTCCCATCACTCAGTTTAAAGAGTGGCTCAGACTACAGCCAGGCTAGAATACAAATATAGAAACAAAACCTCCCCCAGAGCCACAAAGAACTCAGCCAGCTTCCCCGTGTGGCCCACGTAATCCTTGAGCTGAAGAGGGAGGTTCTAGCTTTGCTAAAGAAAATGTAACTGCCATGTACTGTGCAAAAGGGACAGAAGAAGTGATGCCAACAATTTACATGAGCAATAAACTGTAGAAAAATGCTTACCCATGTTCTAGAGTAGCACAGGGTGCAGGCAGCATGCAAAATGGATTTAAGTGATGAACCTGTTCAGCTATTCACTGCCAGATAGCTTTAATTTGTGTCACATACAATTTACTCACTCTGACAATTGGAAAAGGAAACTTGAATATTCACAGCATTGTTGGGTGCACTACACTGGGAATGCCATGCTTCAGCAGTACCACCTTTGCAAGGAGGAACCTTGAGCTACGCTGCCTCCACCCTCTCCAGAGCCAGTTCAGCACAGACACCCCAAACAGGTATGAACTGAAATGAAGTCATAACCCACCCCCAGGTTCCACAGATTCTGCTTCTTCCAATCTTCCAGGTGCTAAATGTTATTTTGCAAGCATTTTTTTTGCTGTAGGCATAAATAAATAATGCATTAATTAACCCAAATACTAACATGAATATGGCCTTTCATCTTCCAGAAGAATCTGGAACGTATAGCACACAAATCACCTCTGCTGTTGGGAGAGCTGGGTGAGGGGGCTGGCAGGGACACGAGGCTTCCATGTCTGCACTGAAGTCTGCAGAAGCAGCCTTGTCCTATCTGCACCTCCTTACAACTCAAGACTCATTAATCTAGAGGAACAGTACCACTGTCTAGTCCTGGAAACACATTAATTAATGGATTTACTAAGGAACAAGACCATAGCTCAGCATTAAACAGGAGATGGAAAGGGCTGATAGTGTGTAGCAAGTGGAGCTACAGCAACAGGAGCTTTTAAAAGCAGACAGTGTTAACAGAAGAATTCTCTAGGCTAGCTAAGCACTTAGGTTCATTTTTCTTCCTAGTAAAGACACTGTTAAAGCAGAATCTAGACTTACACACCTGTATCCAAGCAATTTTTTTTACAGTTTTATTTACAGCTTAACTAATTGGGTTTGGGGCTTTTTTTTAATTAATATGTTAACAGAATTCAGCAACAAGGCAAGTGTACTTGAAGCTTAGTAGTTTACAATATTGCCACCTGCAGTTAGGACTTAGAAGCTGCCAAAACCTCTCAGTGATTTCCAAATGCATGGTATATATTTGAGGTTTGCACTACAGCGAGATGTTTGCTTTTTAAAGGAAACGTGTGAATGCTGTTCTACAAACTTGCTCCCATGCCACAGGCTGCATCAAAGATTTATACCAAAGCCTAAAGTTATCTCTGATGGCACCTTTTCCCAATCTTCCTTCATTATCATGCTGCAGGCTTGGTTTTTGTCAAAAGCAGAACTCTTCCAAACCTAGACGTACTCCCAAAGTCTCAAGAGCCTTGTCTACAGCCTGTTCAAAAAGGCTTAAATCCAGGATAAAAAGGTATCTGTGGAAAGGACAGTGCACCAGCTAACAAACAGGCTTATTTTCAGACAAAAAAATCTTAGACAAAGTTAGAGAAGCAAAGTTATTTACTCTGAATGTTTTCTTAACATGCCAATTAACATGCTCTCATGTTAGCTTCCCTGCTGACACAGAGCAAGAGGGATCAGGGTGTCTCTTGCAGATGCCATTTTACATATTTGACTTTGGATGATCCATACAGAGTAGTGCTCCAGGAACTGAAGCTAACCTCGCTTTTAAGAGATTCCATAACTTAGTTCAACAGACAAGAGAAGTGTCCTCTCCCATCCTGTAAGATGCACAATGAAAATTGAACCCTGGGTTTTGAGTGAGAGGAGTCTTTTACATTTTAAGACTTTATGCAGTCTTCCCACAGAGAACTAGTGCTTCGTGGAGAGCTCTGCTTTTCCAGGCTGTTGGAAAATAAACCAGTGGTTGTAGGAAAGCAAATACAAGACTTCTTCCCTGCCAGATGAGTACTCCTCCTTACATTTTTACATATACATACAATAACCCTTTCCCAAGAGGCCACATTTAAAGTTGAATTTTCACAGATTTGAAGTGGAACAAGATTTCTCTGTATTTTCTTTATCAATGGGAAAAAACCCACTAGTGACTGAGAAAGTTATGTTGTTCTGTTCAAACAGCATTTACTGGATATGGCTCTTTGTCAAAGAAATGCACTGAAGTAACTCAGTTTAGAGGAGAAGAAAGGTCAGAACAATGTTTTGACTAGTCCAAGCTTCCTTCTTCCCTGTCTACACTCAGTTCTAGGAGAGCTGCTTCTTCTAAAGATTCTGAAGGGGGTACAGGAAAAGCAAAGTTCTCTCACATTAGAGACACTCAAGTAGCTCCAAGGTTACTCTCAGTAATCCAGTTAAGCATTGGTCTAGCTGATTGATTCTGTTAAGTACAGTACCTGTGATCTTTTATTTCTTTAAAAACAATAAAATGCATAAGTTCACTATAAAAACCTTAAAGTCAATTACAAATACAATGGCTGCTATAAGAACAAAAGGAATGCTATTCATGGCAGCATCATGAGTGACAAGAAGCTTTCCATTTAGTCCCACACACCAGTAACTTGCCTTTTGGTATCTCAGGTGCTACACTGAGATAGTCATCACCTTTTAAGCACATTTGCAGAGAAAGGACATGCCTGGAAGGAAGCACAACAAATCTGATCTGTTGCTTTCCTTGTCCAGGCAGATACAAACTCCAGTCACTTGTGTTCACTGCTTATGTCTTCTGCAAGATACCAGAAGAGCCTTTCTACCCAGCCTGCTGGTCTGCCAGCACAAGATAACTGTATCTTGGTCTCAACCTTAAAGGAAATAGGAAAGAAAGTATTTTTCCCTGAATAAAAAAAAATGCAATCTATTCTAATATAATGACATATTATAGGTAGAAAAATTAGTTCTTAACTTCCATTCTTTAAATTAATGGAAGGAAGACAAATTAGAACAAGAACTAAAGGTAGCAGTCCTAACTGTAACATTCTGTATTTACAGAGGGATGTCAACATTCCTTGACTTTCATCTATGGGTTTTTGCACCACTGCAAGCTTGTGCGAGACGAACCTAGAAAGAGAGAGAAACTAATCAGTACTCCAAGAGACACATCCCCCACAGCCACCTACAACTGATTCAGTTTTCAGAACATTAACTATAGCTCTTTTTCAATAAGTTTTTACCCACAGTTTGCATTAAGCTAGATTCATGTAAAGCTACTCCCCCTCCCTCCTCAGTTCATGCTTCTTCTTGAAGAGTGACATGAGCCAAAATACAAGATAAGGCAGGAAGAAATAGGAAGTTTCTATTACAGCTGAACAGTGCAGTGACTAATGACAAAGTGACAACTCTGCATTACAACTCCAGGTCATGGCTGACAAAAATACACAGACTTACTGAGAGCTTCTTCATAAATCCTTGGGCCTCTGGATTCAGATGAAGAAGATTCTTCTTGGTCAAATCACTTGCTGTTAAACGAATACTCTGTGGAAAAAAAAAAAATCCAAAGCTTAGGTTTTCTTTTTGGTCAGCTACAGCAGCTGGAAGCAGCAAGAAAACCTCAAAATTAAAAAAATAAAGGCAAATAAAATCCAAGCATATTAAGAGACATGTGGCAGGCAGAGAACTACATTCAGCTTGACCAGCTCAGCTTGTGCATTAACACATTACTGCCAGCAGAGGCTACTTTAAATGTTACTTAAGTGCACAGCAAAACATTATTCTACATTCTGCTTTGACCATCTTGAACAGCTCCCACTACTGACTAAAAATCTTTCAAGGTTCTTTATAAGCTAGATGGACCACCTGATAAACTGGAGTGGCACAACTAAAGAGACAAGAGTGGATGACTTGAAACTGGTAAGATCCCCAAGAAATTACAAGCTATCCCTTCAGCTCAGATCTTGCAGAGTAAAGTTCCTGATTTACCTCCCCTCCTCCAACAGGGACTGTGATGAAGATATCGTTGCTGTCGGCGAGGGGGCTGCCGTTGGCAGAGATGGTGTAAACACGTTCGTGGACCATGGGTGTGCGCAGACCTGGTGTCTTGAAAATTCTGAAACAAAAAGTTATAGGTCAATAATTTAACTCCAGTTGCTCAAAGCACTTTTAGTCAAAGTCTTTCATTTCAGGCTCAAAGAGCCACTAAGGATTATGTTGCAGAAGATGACAAGATACATAGACAAAGCAAGTGGGAAGGCAGTGCCCTAAATAAGAGATTAACAGAGAAATTTAACAGAATACAAACCTGGAATCAAATTTAGGTGTGACCATGGAGGTGCCTCCCTGAGCACAGAGATCAACAATTCTGCCAGTAGCTGGAGTGATAAAGTTGCTTTTGCTTGATCTGTTAAAAGAAATAAATATCTGCTCATAAGAATACTTTTAACAAGTGTCCAAGCACTATCTTACCAAAGACTTGAATTAGGTTATCACCACAGAAAAACAGAGGTTCTTACTAAACAAAGGTAAGTCCCAAAGCTGGGACAGATGGTCATCCCAGGAGAGGAAGCTGCCCCTCTTTCATTCACTGTCAGATCACTGATTTTCCCCCTATAGCATGGCACAACTATATTAACCAGCCTATTAAACCATTTTAAGGTTTAATTCCATTCCTTTTAAGAAAAAAAGTTAGCACTATACACTTATTGTCCATTTCTGAAATCCAGTGAAAGAGATACTCCCTGTTACCTTTTACTCATGCGCTTCACCCTCGCTGAAGGAGCTCTTCTGCTCCTGGACACTGGCACTTTTTTAGCAGATGCCTTCACCTGGAACACACATTATTCACCAAATCAGTTACTTCACTACTGTGTGACAGCTGAGTCCATAACAAACAAATGCTTCCATACAAAATGTTTGGCTCAACAGGCTCGTTTTTATGGCACAAGAGTTCAGAAATAAACATCATACAAGCTTCTGTGACCTTCCTCTGCCACTAGATGTTTCAAGTATCCTGGACAGCCATATTAGCACAGGCATCATCTCAGGAAGTAGTTTATATCCTGCGAATAAAGTCATGACAAAGACTAGCTACTTACCTTTCCAGTTCTTGGATTAGTGTTTTCAGCTTCTAGCTCTGGAAGACATTGGCTGTCACGTTTTGCTTTCTTTGCTAGAGGAAGCAAAGGAGGCTCTGCTTCTTCTTCAATAGCTTCAATATCCTGCTTCCATTTTTCCCCTAGAGAGAGAAAGTGTTATCCAAATTGAAAATCAATAATAACTTTACATTATTAGTTAGCAGATGAAGTAAACAGTAAACAACTACAAGAATTTTTGGCAACAATTTGCTTCTGAAATCCAAATGGCTGACAGAGCACTACTTTGAATGTCTTAATAAAATTAAGTAGAACTACTACATGCAGATAGCAGGGACAAACATAGGATTATTTTCTTGTCTTTAAATATATTGAGGGAAATAAGTAAGAACTGAATTGTTATTTAGTGTGTAAACCATGACATGTTTTCATCTCACTGAACTCATCACAACGCTTAAAACAAACTGACCTTTCTTGATTTTTAAAGGAGTCTGGATAACTTCTGCTGTTATTTTGTCTATTGCTGTCATTTCCAAGTCTGCCTAAAATTAAAAACAGTCACAACACCATTAGAATCATAGAATGGTTTGGATTGGAAGGGACCTTAAAGCTCATCCAGTCCCAACCCCCCTGCCATCAGCAGGGACACCTTCCACTAGATCAGGTTGCTCAAAGCCTCATCCAGCCTGGCCTTCAACACTTCCACATTAGGATTATCAGGAGCATAAAGTTCTGAGAAGTCAAAGTTACAGAGCAAATCCCCTATTATTTCTCAGCAAGAATACCTCAACATTTGCTGTTGTGCTCAAACTGGGACCTTTCATGTTACTCTGGAGGTTCCAACACCACATGAGGTCTGGGTGTCAGTCAGGACTAACATGCCCTATCTGGCAGCTGCGAGGATGGTTTACACAAGCTCTGCTGCTCAACCAGTTCAGAAATGCTTTAATTTACTGAAAAACAGGGGTACTCTCAGGGGTCTGGGGGTGAAATGAAGCAGGTAAGGAAAGACCAACTCAGAGCAGCACGAGCACACAAACCCTGTGTTGGACACAACAGGAAAGTTCTGCTGTTAAGCCTTAAAGCAGCATTTGTGAAAGTATTTAAGTAACCTCTGCGATTGCAACACTCCTTCAGGCTCAGGAAACCTTTCATTTCCCACAGCAGCGGCACGCAACGTCCCCAGAGAAACTCAGTGTTAGTGCTGGACACTTACGGTTGCTGCCTCTTCCAACAGCTTCTTGTTTCCTCCTCTAGCTAAAAAGAGAATATTTTTCAGTAAGTCAGTACAGGGGGAGACAGGCGGC